AAGCAATGAGCATGAAACTGAGCAAACTCAGGGAGGCAGCGAAGGACAGGAAGGCCTGGTGTGGGTCACGAAGAGTTGGACACGACTTAACGAGTGAACAACAAATCACTAGATATTTCAACAAATACAGAATCTGTGTAAAAATATTAGAATGTTTTATTTTTTCCTAGATTCAGTGTATAACATGCACCGGGGGCATGATATATCTTAGGCTGGATTCTTAGATTTCTTAGGGTACTTTTTAAAAAGCATATTGAGTCTGATGTGTCATGCAGCTGCATGGTCTGTTCCATTTTTAAAAGTTTTTCAGCCTTTTGGCAATACTCAGAAGGAAAAAAAGAATGATTCAAAAGTCCCTATTTAACAGTCATTATTTTGAGTAATTTCGTATTTGCCCTCTTTCAAATGAAACTTTTGAAACGGGGTTTTGTTTTTTGGAACAGTATTACAGAACTCTCCTCTTGGTTATTTATTTTCTTAATTTGGTTTGTTTCAGATTTTACTTAATTTATGCATTTTCCATCTGTTCTTTAAATATTTTTTATGGAGAAGCTATGCTGAAGTGGCTAGCAGATATCATTGTATTTTAAGCTGCTTTCAGAAGGCAGAAGGTATGCATTACATCTACAAAACATGCTTTTCATCATTTGAAGTTTTACCTTCATACAAAATGTATTCTAGCAAATAGCGGTTCTGTAATATTTTTATACCCAAACCATTCTGTTAAAACAAACTGTACTTTTTATGTGTGTACTTTGTATTCTTGAATTGAAAGTTCATTACAACACTTAAAGTTATCTTCTGTTTTTGAGGTCATCAGGCTTACAGCTCCCTCTGCTGTTGACCTAGCGAACACAGAATAAAAATTACAGTAGAAGGGGAAGCTTTCACACATTTACCCAAAAAGTCAACACAAAAATGGCGAAATAAAATGCCACCCCTGCAAGAACGGAAGTGTCACGTAAACCACTTCCGTCCAGAGGTCGAGTTGTTGCGCGCGCAGATAAAAGGTGTACGGTGAGTGCTTGGGGACAGAAAAGAATTGCGCTTGCGCATGTATTTTCGCGCGAAAGCTGTTTTGGGCGCCTTTGGTGACGGGCGGGGCTCCCGTATGCAGTATATGTACGCGGTCGGCAGGAGGCGCGCTGGGTTTGGTTGGCGGTGGCGGCGGCTGCGCCATTGGCGGGTAGGAAATGCCGCCAGATGGCGGTTTAGGATTGCAGCTCTACTGAGGTGCGGCCCCCAGCACCACCGCCTGTTCGTTCCGGCCCGGCTTGGCCCCGGCCCGCCTGGACCCATCTCCCGTGGCACCGTAGGATTCCCGGGGGCGCTGCCTCAGCTGAGGTAAAAGAGTTAGCGCGGGCGGAGGGAGGGGGAGGGCTCCGAGGCTGAGATCCAAGATGGAGGCGTGAGGGGCGGGGGCAGCGGGCCCTCTCTCTCGCTCCCTTGTTCACACACTCGAGCCGGGCCAACGGGCGGGAGTCAGAGGTGGAGGGAGGGAACGGTCGACCGGGCGGCTCTCGCCTGAGGAGACCGCTCCTCAGCAGCTCCGTTCCCTCCCTGGCCCTGCCCTTTTCCTTCCCTGTGGACCCGGGCGACAATGGAAGGGCGGCGGCCCCACGGGCTGCCTCGCCTCGCTGGCCCTGGCAGCACCTCTTCTGGGCCGGGAGCCCGCTGCTGTGTGCCCGCCCCCATGCAGGGCCTGCCTTCGCCCGAGCGTTCATTTCCTTGCTTAGTCTTGGCCGGGCGGCGGCGCTGAGCAAAAGGGACTACTGTGCCATCTTCGCTCCCCCCCGCCTTATGTGGTGTTGGCGGTGGCGGGAATGAGGACTCAGGAAGGAGGGGGGACCAAATAATGGGGGTACGCGGGAGCGACCGAATAAATCGGCGGCTCCGTTTGTTATTGTCAGAAATATCAATAAAACATCACTATGTCGCGGAAAGTGGGAGGCCATTCGGGGTGGTGGTGATCCTGTGGGGGCTGGCAGACGAATTTGACGAGTTACTTAAAAGGTTAAGATTGTGGTTTTGAGTTTGGATAACTCATAACTCTCCGGTGGGATCCTGGTTCGTAATGTCTAGGGGAAAAGGTGGGAAGTATTAGATTTTAAATGCTTTAGGGACAAATCGTTGTGGCAGGCAGCGGGTTGATCCTAGTAAAGTTAGAGTTTCTGGATGTTTGGGAAATGGGTGCTTGCTCGGTGGCCATAACAAAAAGTGTCTGAAGTTTTGTTCTTGTGGCTTTCATATATATATACTGTGACTCTTTTTGACTATTTAAGAATGTTCTTAAATTCTTGTATAGGCACTGGAGCAAAGAGTAAGCTTAATTATGATAATGAGATAGCTAGCCATAAATGAAGCTTATCAACAGCAGTAGTACAAGTTATAGGAGGAAAAATAATTTTTTATCTTGAGTTATAATTATAGATGCCATTTTGAATATTGCACAAGATTGAGAAAAGCTGATAAGACAAGAAGCTGATTGAAGAAAGTTTGTTTTCAAGATCTTTTTTGATATATCTTCCAAAAGAACATTTTTTAAAAAATGGCAAATGTGAGGAGCATATGACTCTTTAGTTGTTTATGGACCCAAACAACCATTAACACCAATAGCATGGCCCAGTGTGAGGGTTAATGGGAATTATGATTCAAGAAACATGTAAGGGTCATAAATTTCTTAACCATGCTGTAATGTTACACAGATACATTATTGCTAGATACATATATTGATATTTTCTGAAATTATTTTTATAAGCAATTTTGGATGACATTTTTGTTATAGTTTATGAGCTGTGTGAGATAGTGAAGTTATTTCCCTCAAGTTATTTAAGTCATATGGCTAGGATTTCCAAGGTTTTAACAGAAATAAGAGAGTTGACATGAATGGTGGTACAGTATGGTTTTTTTTTCTAAGACTAAACTGTTAAGTACTGTTAATAGCTCAGTATTTCTGAAAAACACATTGCTTGTGACAATATTACTGTGAGTAGCAATTACTGGCGATTACATTGAAAAGCACAAGAATTAGTACATTTCTTGTTCCATTAGACTCATGTAACTAAGCTATTAAAACAATATGATATGCCCAAATAGTAATAAAATGCAAATTGTTTACATAATAACCAGAATGGTTTCATCCAGCTTGACTTAATTTTCTTGGAAGAATAGCTATTCACTTTGGGGTAATAAATTCTAACTTCTCGTGTTATGGTGTGATGACCTTTCAAGGATACAGGGTGGATAGTAAATTTAGTCTGCAAATATATGTTTAGTCTTGCTGTACTGTCTTAGGAAAATGAGCCATTGAACTCAATATGATTGACTTCTTTTGTTATTTTCTTAGGTTTGTTGATCATGCAGTTACTTAAATGTAATCTTGCTAGCTTTGGAGATTCCAGACTTAGTGAGACTAAGTAGGCAGGCATAGGATTATGCTGTTAAAGTATCCTGTTTGTAACAACAAAAATGTTCTCATAAGATAGCTTACAACTGGCAATTTTAAAAACACAAAATAAACAGCTATAAAAAGTTGATGAGCTGATAGGACCATTAGTTGTTAACATAAAACCTTTTAGGACAATGCTAAATAAAGCAAACAAGCATTGATGCTCAGTTTAAAAATGTCCTGTAAAGAATGGGTTTTTTATAGATCCTGGGGAAAATAATTCTAGAAATAAAGGAGCAACTATTGAAAGACCGAAGGTTCTTTGAAGTGGATTTTAAGGTCTAGGCAGAATCCCTTAGATGCAGGTAGTCCTTCAGATTACTTAATTGCAAACTGCTTTAGGCATTAAAGATATCTGTACTGTAAATCAGCCCAGAAAGAAATTGGTAACCCTGATTTTGTAAAACTGATATAATGTGGACAAACCAACTAGCTCTGTAGTTTTCAATCATAAGTTTACAGATATTTAAGCTACAGCTGCCATTGTGCATAGCCATGGACAATGGGAGTTGACATGCAGCAATGGTTGGGAGGTCCAAGGCTAGATATTACTGGGTTTATATCCTCTTAGGAGTGTGGTAGCTACATATTGTATTGATCTGAAGTTTCTGAATTGTTTGTAATATAGTACCTGGCTGATCTTGAAATAATTATTCAAGGTTGGGACAACCAGGAAATTCTAGGGCTGCAGACTAGAAGGCCAATACACATCTAAGAACAAGAAGTTGCAAACCACTTCTGTATTGTTGCCAGGAAAACTGGAGGGACATGTCCATAAATCACCAAGAATTTAACTTGATTAATAATTATTCTAGGCTTAATATCAGTATTCTTTTGATATCAATATAGCTGACAAAGATTTATGGTGGATACTAATTATTTGTCTTGAGAATACAATAAATGGATATTACAATGCCAGTTGAAATATATTTGTTTAAAAATGTAGTTTTGCATATGAATTGGAATGATTTTAATTTTTTCTTCAGTTGTGCCAAAAAGTTGCACTTTGGGTTTCATTGAAATTACTACACTTTCATTGATACTGGATTGCTGTTTAGGTTTTTTTTCCCCCTACTTTCTTAAAAGGAAAATAAGTGCATCAGTAAAGTAGGGAAGCAGCAATTAAGGTTATGTATTATATATTTCTTTTGTAATTATTCTGATATTACTATTTTTATGATACATTATTTTTAATACACAATTTAGATTTGTAATTCTTACAGTTCTTTCATATGTATCAATAACCCAACTATCCATTTTGTTGGCTATTTGAACCTTTTCCAGCTTAGGCATCATCCAGATATGCAGTCTTCAACTCCCCAAATTCTCAGCAGTGACCCAGGAAATTCTGAAAATAGAAGCAATCCAGGTTGAGAAAGTAACCAACTAAATGGAGAAAGTGGGAGGGGGAGAGAAAAGAGGTGTGCCAAACAAAACAGCATGAAGGTTATAGTTAAATGAAATATATGTATAGACAAGTCTGTATGTAATATTAACCTTTCGATCTTTGCACACAAGTCTTAGATTTCTACTAGATTCACAAAACATGCCAAGCTAAAATGTTATAAAAATGCAGTTGGTTAGAATCATGACTCATTGTAGTTAGCTTAAAGTTCAGTGTGTTGTGAACAATTGTATTAATTGGTTCAATTAAGGACAGTTTCTGATTTTTGGTATATAGAAAGTTGGTATTGCTCTTTCTAGTACTGTAAAAAATCTTTTCAAAATTCCTCCATATGAGAATATAATACAGTAACATGATACGGAAATGTAAAATTTATTTTAAAAAAATTAACTCAAAACTTCCCATTTTTTGTTCTGGGGGAAAAATTAAGTGTTATTTCTAGGAGACTAAATTGTATTGTAAATTGTAAACATATGTATTATGTTGAGCAAGTAGATAATTTTTTGTTATTAGTATTTCTAATAAAGTCTTTGTAGGAATAAATGCTGCCCACTCTTTTAAATCTCCTGATTCTAAGACTTTGTTAGCCTCCTAGGAGAACTACATGAACCATCAACAAAGAAGGAAGTCTTTCTTCCTCCTGTACTGAATGTAGTCCCCCATGCTCTTGCAAATATTGCTTTCTATCGGTATAGGAAATACAATCATCCTGTGTAGGAAAGTCTTATTGCATAATTTTTGAGATCATTTGTGGGGAAAAAATACAAATCACTTGTATTAACAATACAGGTAGTCCTCTTTTAGTGACCACAATTGGGACCAGCAACGCAGTTGCTAAGTGGGAAATCACGTGACTGTGCTTTCCTTTTTCCCCACTCCCCCACCCTTTGGAATGCTCACCCCAGTGCTGTGGTAATTAGCAAGAAGAGATGAATGTTTGTATTTACATTCAGGAGAGGAAGGGATTACAAGAGAGTAAGCAGGCACAGCTTATCTCCTTTCCAATCTGTCTGCTCTGCAAGGGGGGAAAAAGAAAATGGGATAGGCATAGGACCACACATATTGACTACAATGGCAGTCATGTGACTAAGGCATGCTGCAAAGGAAGATTTCTATGAGTAAATGTTTTCTCTAAAGCAGAATAAAGTGAATGTAAATCTTGGACCAAAAGTTAAGGAAGCCACATTCTTTTCAGATGTTTTGGACTATTGATGCCTATAAGCTTCATCCTGCTTTACGGTCAGGCTTTCTGTGGATTGTAGCTTAACATATTTGGAGGACCTCAAGTTGCCTCTAGCCTCAAATGTAAAGTTGTTGACTGGCTACCCAACAAAATGAAGTTCCAGAAATATGTTTTGATTTTACATTGAATTCTCTGTTTCAATGTGCCCTGGCTTGGGATAATATTAGATTTATATATGCAGAAGAATTGTAATTTAGTGAAAAGCAGGTTTGTGTACAAGGTTCAAAATGATGTCAGCATGCACCGTT